GGTTCTTCTACGTTGTCGGAAACAGATCAGGTTTATCTATCGGGGGTCTCTTGGGAGGCTTACTAGCAGCCCATCTAGGACCGTCGGTCATCGATTCTGTTAACGGTATACTTGTTTCCTTTGATATAACCCGAGGTTTTGCCAGAATCTTGTGTTCGTTTCTTCGGCATCTGGTCCAAATTTCGTGTCCATCTCTGCGTCAACATCATTCACAAATTACATTAAATGAGAAGTGAGTTTACATTCACAAATTGCATTAAATTTCTGTCATATAATCTTCACATGAAGGAATTTGTTTATTTTGTTGATGTCATTAATAACTGTTCATTTTTGACAGACTGAGAATTTTGGATTATCTTGCCCGCATTATTGATTTTGTATGATTTATTACCGTTTAGATATCGGTTTGAGACACTGAGTTTACAATGACTTCATATGAAGGGTTGAGTGCTTTTGTCCATACAATTATAAGGGAAATTCAACGTCTAAAATTTGTAGTACATTGCAAATTACATTAGATTTCTGTCATATAATCTTCTGTATCTGAAAACTGACTTTATTATAGATGTAAAATCTGTGATTCTTTGTTGTTTAATTGCCCAATCTTTTTTTCCAAGTACAAGAGCCCTAACACTTTGAAGTGACCACAAAACACTTTGAAGTTTGTATTGACTTCTTGAATTCCAGAGAGATGTTATATACACTTTTAATGTGAAATGGGGTAGTTTCATGGCGGTGTTTTGGTCTATTTGACGGTATCTACTTGAGTTCTCCAATTTCTAGCATGTGGATAATCTTGCATTTTAGATATGATCTTTATGTTTAAAATGAATTTGAAGCTTCAGTCTAATGTCGGTATCTAATTTTCAACCTCTGGTTTATCAAGAATGAATTTGAAGCTTCCGTCTAATGTTGGTATTTTATTTTTCTACCTCTGTCAAGATTTGCTTAAAATTTGAAGCAATATTTGATGTGTGACCAACAGTTCTAGGATATGGACGTTCAAACCATCTGCATCTCCCAATTAAGTAAGTAGCTGTTGTGAGATTGACCGGATCATACCCCCCTATCCAGGAACTCTAACATGTAGATATTTACTATACATCAGCTTAAAAGAACACAAATGTGCTTGCTAATTCATGTTTTTGGATTTTGGTTAAAGTTCTTTGCTACAGGTGATATGCCACTGGAGCTCATGACTTTACTAGATAAATGCATTGATGATTCACAATTGGGGATAGTTGCAGGTAAGAAGTTTACAACCTTGAATATAAATTTTGATTTTTATTAGTTAAACGGTGCATGAAGGCGTAACGGGGTAATGTATGGTTAAACTCTTGAAAAGAGTTCATTAGTTATCGTGTTCTCACAATTGCATATTAAGCCCAATATATTTTGACTTGAAGACGTAAAAAATGATAATTTTATTGTTTTATATTTCATTTAAGAATACTTTATCTCTGTTCTTTCAATGCTAGGCAAACAATTTCAAGTTCTGATTCATTACCTGAAACAAGTTTTGTAAGTTGATAAGCTGGTGCAATATCATCTTATTCACGGTTAGGGCTAATCCAATCAACATCTTTTTCTTCAACCTCGATCTTCCACATGAGAAATAAAGTATGTAATATGTTAGCTTTTTTATGAATCAAGGGCGACTTACACTTTGCACCATAGAATTTTTACCCAAAAATTGCTTCGTGGGCTTGCAAAATCATTGCGATGCTAGGTAAAACCTTACAGTTATTGAAGGCATTTCTTTTGACGGTGTAGCTTAATTGGCAACCCATAATTTATGGTTACTATTAGTTGGATCAATCCAACAAAAGTTATAGGAAAAAGATCCCATATTTGGTGTATGCTGTTTGCAGTTCATGTTGAGCTGTGAAAACATGCAAGAGTCGCTTTAGGCACTTTCTATTACTGGCTAAGTGCATTCGTTCTAACATTTATGTGCGGTTCTCTTGGTGTATTGTTATGGTTTAACTCAAGATGAACATGTCAATTACGCACAGATGTTTCGTATCACTTCAGTTATGATGTATTATCTCTTATTTACATAGAAACCGGGCGGCTCTTCTAGATGAAGCTTGGTAAATTAAACACAGGATGTTGTTCTTCTCTTTGCTTTTCTTTTCCCTTAATATCAAGATATATGGGTAGTTATCTCTTCAACTTATTTAGTTTCATATGTTAACTGCTTGAGTGCTTCCATATGTTCTTTGTTTTTTAGCTGCGAAACTGTAAACTTTAGAAAGCAAGCTCACTCACTCTCCCCAACTCTAGGATCTGATTTGAATATTGTTTCCAATATCTCTCCGAAGATTCCTCCAAATCATAAAATTTCTCTTTAATTGGTCGCAATTTATAGTATGATCTCTCACCCTTTATCTCCCTCTCTGTCATCTTAACGACATGCACATACATATATAACGTATATTTCTCCTTGAGTCTAATCGAGCCTCACTATAATTTATATTCGTTGTCTCATTTTTAATGTTAATTGGTCGCAATTTATAGTATGATCTCTCACCCTTTATCTCCCTCTTTGTCATCTTAACTACATGCACATATGTAACGTATATTTCTCCTTGAGTTTAATCGAGCCTCACTATACTTTATATTCGTTGTCTCATTTTTAATTTTAATTGTCATTAATTGTTGAATTTGTTATCTTCACTTAGACAATCTCTAACGGTTTGCATCATTTCTTGCACCAAAATGGTGTAAAATCTGGTGTAAACAGTGGTTCATCTACCACCCATTACACCATGTAATAGAATTCCCCAAAGTGTTAATTTCTTGATAAATGTAATAGTTGGATTCCCCAAGAGTCTACTGAAAGTGGTATAAGAAAATTCATTGGGAGCAAGAAAGACAAGGTCCACTATCTCGTTTTAAAAAAAGGTTAGATTTCATGTTCTTTTATATTGGGTTTGTATTTTTGATCATGTCTTTGTTACGTGTTTAATGTTGACGTTTGAATGACGATACCTTGTGTATGCATAACTTTTACTAAGTTTTCAATTTTGTAATGTATCGACGTATATATGTTAGAACTTTGTTATTCATTGTTTGTTTCAAACTGTATCTATTTGATAACTATTTTCAATTAATGGGTTTGTATTTTCAATCATGTCTTTATTACGTGTTTAATGTTGATGTTTGAATGACAATATCTGGAGTATGCATATGTTAGAACTTTGTTGGTCGTTTTTGTTTCAAACTGTAATAATTTGATAAACATTTTCAATTGATGTGTTTGTATTTTTGATCATATCTTTGTTACGTGTTTAATTTTGACGTTTGAATGACAGTATCTTTGTTATTCCTTTTTTGTTTCAAATTGTATTTATTTGATAACAATCATCAATTAATGGGTTTGTATTTTCGAGCATGTCTTTGTTACGTGTTTAATGTTGACATTTTAATGACAGTATACGGTGTATGCATARCTTTTAYTAAGTTTTCCATTTTGTGTTGTATGGACATATATGTGATAGAACTTTGTTGGTTGTTTTTGTTTCAAACTGTAATTATTTGATAAAAYATTTTCAATTGATGTGTTTGTATTTTTGATCATATCTTTGTTACGTGTTTAATGTTGACGTTTGAATGACARTATCTCTTGTGTATGCATAACATTTTCTAAGTTTCCGATATTGTGTTGTATGGACGTATATGTGTTAGAACTTTGTTATTCGTTTTTTGTTTTCAAATTGTATTTATTTGATAACAATTTTCAATTAATGGGTTTGTATTTTCGATCATGTCTTTGTTACATGTTTAATGTTGACGTTTGAATGACAGTATTTGGTGTATGTCATAAGTTTTACTAAGTTTTTCAATTTGTGTTGTATGGATGTATATATGTTAGAACTTTGTTGGTCATTTTTGTTTCGAACTGTAATTATTTGATAAACATCAAGTGTTTGTATTTTTGATCGTATCTTTGTTACGTGTTTAATGTTGAAGTTTTGAATGAAATTTTCTTGTGTATGCATGACATTTTCTAAGTTTCCGATTTTGTGTTGTATGTACAAGTATGTGTTAGATTTAAACTTCTTAGTACTTGGATTTTGTTTATATGCATACCATCTTCGTTCTTGTTTATCTTGACCTTTGATGTATTGTGGTTTTGTCGATGTGCATCCCTTTACATAATTGTTGGTTTTTGCTTTCGTGGTTGTTTGACAAGTCGTTTGCTTATGGTTGTCTTATTCTCTTATTATTTTGAGATAGATGGTTGTGCATTTTGTGTAAATGAATTTGGGCTTGTTGTAGTTTAAAATTATGGTTGATCTTGATCACAATGATTTTATGGTACTTTGTTGAACGTTGGTAAATGTTGTTTCAGAACATACTTATTTGATTGTCATGTATAGGTTTGCTTTTTTCACTCTATTACGCNCTTTGTTGAACGTTGGTAAATGTTGTTTCAGAACATACTTATTTGATTGTCATGTATAGGTTTGCTTTTTTCACTCTATTACGCCCTTTATATTGGCTGGACTAAACCAGTTTAAAAAAAGGACCGGCCTTTTAAAAATGACCTCGGTCGGGGGCTGGAGCCGCTCCCCTGATGAGCTCTCGGCAGAGCGAAACCAGGTCAGATCCGGTGGAAATATGTTGGTGGAGCCTGAATCAAGTGTCCTGGAAAATTGGTATCAGAGCTTCGGTGACGGTTCTTGTGACGATCGGGCGGTATGGGACGTCCGAAAGGCACACTGTGACTCCGCCCTGTGTGGTTTTCAGGAGTATCACAGTAAAAAAGGGCCAACTTGCACCCATCCAGAAGGTTGACGTAAGCGTGATAAGACAATACCATGACGTAAGCGCTTAAGTATTCGGGAGAGCGACAGGTGGTGGTGGGCCAGCGGGCATTTTCTTTATAAGGCGTGCCTGAACTACTCATTACCATATCACAATCCTTCTCTCTATTTTTAGAAAGGGGGAGGGCTGGACTAAACCAGTTTAAAAAAAGGACCGGCCTTTTCAAAATGACCTCGGTCAGGAGCTGGAGCCGCTCCCCTGATGAGCTCTCGGCAGAGCGAAACCAGGTCAGATCCGGTGGAAATATGTTGGTGGAGCCTGAATCAAGTGTCCAGGAAAATTAGGGCTGGACTAAACCAGTTTAAAAAAAGGACCGGCCTTTTAAAAATGACCTCGGTCGGGGGCTGGAGCCGCTCCCCAGATGAGCTCTCGGCAGAGTGAAACCAGGTCAGATCCGGTGGAAATATGTTGGTGGAGCCTGAATCAAGTGTCCAGGAAAATTGGTGTCAGAGCTTCGGTGACGGTTCTTGTGACGATCGGGCGGTATGGGACGTCCGAAAGGCGCCCTGTGACTCCGCCCTGTGTGGTTTTCAGGAGTATCACAGTAAAAAAGGGCCAACTTTCACCCATCCAGAAGGTTGACGTAAGCGTGATAAGACAATACCATGACGTAAGCGCTTACGTATTCGGGAGAGCGACAGGTGGTGGTGGGCCAGCGGGCATTTTCTTTGTAAGGTGTGCCTGAACTACTTGTTACCATATCACAATCCTTCTTCTCTCTATTTTTAGAAACAGGTTATGAACTAAGTTGGGGCAACTTCTGGAGTTGTCCTGATTTGTTTTGGACGGCTAAAAAGCCCGGTCCGGTCTTGCTAATCGTAAAAGATAGCATTTTTTAAGTAAATATATATCTAAAAATAGATAAAATACTTTTTAATTTGTGATTTTTCTGTTTTAACATGAAATTAAAACAATGCATCGCAAGAAGTAATGAGCTTCTTTTTCATTTTAGAAAGAGACTTTCTATTTTTATCAAGGGCATCTTAATATTTTTTATACCTTTTTTATTTGTAGCTTTGTATTGACAAAGATAATATTTGCAGAGATCTCCTTCTTGAGGCATATCTATGCGTATTTGAAGATTAATTCTTCTTTCTTCAGCTTTTTCAAGAAGTCCGGAGAGCTTCTG